GGCCCCGGCGGGCGCGCCTTGCTCAGCGGGCAGCGCTGCGGGGCTCTGCTTGGCTTCCAGGGGGTGAAATTGCAGTCACTTTATTGACGGGGGTGTGGGGCTCCCATTCGCTCTGGTCTCGGTAGGAGCCGGAGCTGCATCCGGCTCTGGCTCGGTCGCCCGGCTCCATTGGCCGCTGGGATGTTTGTTCCCCGCAGCCTCCGCGGGCCGGGCTGCTAGGGGGCTGGAGTCACCTTGGCGGTTTTGGAGACACATGGCCTGTCCCCGCCTGGATCCACCTGCTCCTCACTCCGCAGCTGCACCCTCAGAGCCTCAAAAACTCCCCGAGCCCCGCACGGCCGCGTTGGCATAGGAAAAGGTTCTTAATTTTAAACACTGGACCGAAAAGAATTCACAGCAGCTTATAAACATGGACCTTTGAAATGGATCTGGTGAAAGTTTGATTCTTACTGTCACGTCTTAAAAATGGCAAAGACAGACTCTCCTGCCAGAGTGAGAAATTTGCATTATTGTTGTTCTTCTCGGTTTCACATTTCCGTGCCAGCCCGGGTCAAACTTCCTGCTCCGCAGTATGTTTTCCTGCCTGGAGTTCTTTCGTCGCATCTTAAAATGAAATAGGACATGAAGTATAACTGTCTGTCTAACTTAGATTTTCTAATGGTCATAAAGCTTCAAGTAGGAAGATAGCGCTGTAGGTTGAGCTCTGGTTATGATCACAGACGAGAGCGGTGTAGAATGTTACAGCGGCCATCTCTAACTGTGACCAGGGAAAGTAACTTTTTCTTGAAAGGACCTCTTTAATAGATGAAAGGCCGTTTTTTTTCACTCGTCCCACATTTCCACGAGTGACCGTGTTTTATTGATAAACTAGGAAAGCTTCCGCATGGACTCGGTGCCCCGCGTGGGGCTGCGTTGGGTGGAGGGAGGCACAAGGGAGGGAATGGGGGACATTAGTAACGTCGTCAACAATTTTTAAAAATTCTAAAAAATAAAGCATCCTGTCCCAATTGGACGCTCCAGAACCAGAAGGTGTGGTGAGCCAGCTCGGCCACAAGGGGGCAGTGTCTTCACGAGCACAGCGAGTCCCCTTGGAACACCACCCTCGGGGCCTGCAAACCTAACATTCCTTGTTGGCAGAGCCCCGCTCACCGGCTCACCAGGGAGAACAGAAACGTGTGTCCCGAGGCCCAGCCGCCTGCCTGTGATGCGGAACCGATCTTTATTATCAGTCCGTGTGGACGAGACTTTTCAAACGTGTGGCTGGTACCGCTCCAAAGTGCCTTCCGTTCAGACGTGTAGAGTGAGCAGCTCGCGGGAGTTCGGAGGGCGGATGCCTTTCCATCCAGGCACGGGCCAGCGTGGTTTCTCGCCGGCGCGGGAGCTCGAAGCCGCTTTCCCCCGCGGAATCACGTCACCTACGATGCGCTCCGCACGGGCGTGGCCTCTTGATTTCCGTAAAGGCCGCGTGTCTCCCCCGGTTTGGGGGCAGCCCGGTCCGTGTGTGTTTGCAGAGCGATGAGCTCCCGGCCAATGCCTAAGAGAGTTGCATGCCTGGCCTGTTACCCGCTCCTCTTCTCTGGCCTCGGGGATTCTAGGAGGGCCCCCCTGTCCCCAAAGCCCGTTTTCAGTGAAGGGCAGGGTGTCCTTATAAAAGACACCACAGAGATATTAGGGAATCAAAATCAAATCGTGGAGCCCGGCCGGCGTGGCTCAGTGGTTGAGCGTCCACCTATGAACCAGGAGGTCACAGAGTTCGACTCCCGGTCAGGGCACAGGCCCGGGTTGCAGCTCCATCCCCAGTGTGGGGCCTGCAGGAGGCAGCCCATCCATGGTTCTCTCTCACCATCGATGTTCCTATCTCTCTCTCCCTCTCCCTTCCTCTCAAATCAATACAAATAGACATATTTTTTAAAAGCACACCCTGTGTGGCTGGGATGTCCCCTCTGCTGGAGGCACCCCAGAAATAGACCCCAGATGACTTACAGTTTCTCAACATGTGACCCTCCTTCTGGGGTGACAGGGACCCGGGATTCCCTTTCGCCCCCTGGTCGCAGCGAGGCGGGGCCCTTTGCTGCCCGATGATAGGCCGAGGGTCTGTAGTTACACGCAGGAGTCACCGTAAGCGGCGGCCTTTAGTGAAGGCTCACAGGGTGACGCTTCCTGCCCTGAGTCCTGGCAGCCCTGAGTCCTTTGGAGGAAACACGGAGGCCCCCGTTGAGGAGGGACAGCCACAGTCAGTGCTGAGCGGCCCCGGAGAGGATTTGGACAATAACGACTGGGAGGACATCCCTAGGAGGTTAAAAAAAGAAAACAAGGCCCCGACTGATTTGGCTCAGTGGATAGAGCATCGGCCTGCGGACTGAAGGGTCCCGGGTTCGATTCCAGGCAGGGCCTCGGGACACGCGTTTCTGTTCTCCCTGGTGAGCGGGGGCTCCGCCAACAAGGAATGTTAGGTTTGCAGGCCGGGAGGGAGGCGTTACAAGGGGACTCGCTGTGCCTACCTTGATTGCGGGCACATCCCCAGTAGGGGGTGTGCAGGAGGCAGCTGATGGATGTTTCTCTCTCATCGATGTTTTTAACTTTCTATCCTTCTCACTTACTCTCTGTAAAAAATCACTAAAATATATTTAAACAAAAAAGAAAAAGAAAACAAGAACATCAGGAACAACAGAAAGGGAAAGGCAGGGTTAAGTATAGACTTACATGGTAGGATCTGTGGGGATCGGGTTGGGCTCTGAGCACACGTCGTTCGTGTGCCTCCGCGGTGGCCGTCTTCGCTGCGTGTTTGCTGTGAGCATCAGGGTCTCACACCGTCACGTGGTTGTCTGGGTTTAGAGCAAATCACCTGAGCAGGTCATGGAGGCGACGCGTGTGGGCACTGGCGCTCGGGTCTGAGCTCTGGGGGGGAGAAGGCACACAGAACTGATGGGGTGTCCGTCTGTCTCCCCGACAGGGCTCTCTGACGACGCCAAACTCCCCGTCCGTGACTTCCCGCTCCATCACGCTGGGCCCATCGCTCTCGCTGAGCAACATCTCGGGGGTGTCCGTCAAGTCCGACATGAAGAAGCGCCGAGCCCCGCCTCCTCCGTCCCTGCCCGGGGCGGGGCCGCCTGCGCAAGACAAGGCATCGGAGAAGGTAGGGGCCTGTGCTGTTTTGGTTGTAAAGGTGGTCACGGTTTTTTAAATTGTCCTGTGTCTTCCAGGGGCGTCTGAACTTTTTATATGCTTTTTTATTGTTATTTTTTTAAATATACGTTTATTATTTCAGAGAGGAAGGGAGGGAGAGATAGGAACAGCCATGGTGAGAGAGCATCATGGATCGGCTGCCTCCTGCACACCCCCCCACTGGGGGTCAAGGCTGCAGCCCAGGCCTGTGCCCTGACCTGGTATCGAACTATGACCTCCTGGTTCCTAGGTCGACGCTCAACCACTGAGCCACGCCGACCGGGCTTTAATATGCATTTTTAAATTATGTGTTGGTTCCGGGTGACAGCTCAGTGGCCAGACAATCGTATACTTGACACAGGGCTCCCCTCGCTATTCCCAGTGCCCACCTGGCCCGGGCGTCGTGTCACCATCTTCCTGGCTGTTTCCTGTGCTGTATCACCCGCCCCCCCCGCCCCGTGACTGTGGGGGGGACTTCCCAGCTGTGCTCCTCGGTCCCTTCACCCTCCCCCCACCCCCCCTGAGTCTGTTCTCTGCATCTGTGGGTCTGGTTCCATTTGGTTTGTTGCTGAGACTGTTCTCCAGCTTCCACATGTACGTGAAGTCAGGGCACTTGTCCTTCTCTGACTGACTGACCTCACTGAGCAGAACGCCCTCCAGGCCCCTCCATGCTGTCGCAGACGGTCAGCTGTCCCTCTTCCTGCGGCCGAGGGCTCCATGCACACAGCACCGGCTTCTTCGTCCCTCGTCCCCGAGGGCACTGGGCGCCTCCACGGTGAGGCTGTGTGAGCAACACTGCAGTGACCGTGGGGGCGCATGTGCGTTCCAGTTAGTGTTTGGGGTTTTTTGGATAAATTACCGGAAGTGGGACCGCGGGCCATAAGGCAGGTCCATTTCCAGTCTTTTACGGAAACGCCACGCTGTCCCCCACGGCGGCTGCACCAGCCTGCAGTCCCAGCAGCAGTGCACATGGTGATCTCTCCTCCGCATCCTCGCCCACACGTACTCCTTGTTGATTGATTGATTGATTGACTGACTGATGGGGGCCGTTCTGACAGGTGTGGGGTGCTATCTCACTGTGGTTTTGATTTGCATCTCTCTGATGATCCGGGACTTTGAGCATCTTTTCATCTGCCTCTTGGCTGTCTGTGTGTCCTCTTTGGAGAAGTGTCTATCCGGGTCCTCTGGCCATGTTTTCATTGGGTTGTTTGGGTTTTCAGTGTTGAGTTGTATGAGTTCTTCATGCGTTTTGGATCTTAACCCCCTTACAGAGGTGTCACCGGCGGAGATGCTCTCCCGTTTAGCGGTTGTCTCTTTGTTCCGTGGAGGGTTTCCTTTGCTGCGCAACGGCGTTTTCGTTTGAGGTCGTCCCCCTCGCTTACGTTCCTTCTGTCTCCCTCGCCCGAGGGGAAGTGTCAGAGAAAACATTGCTCTTTCAATGAACCGGCCGCTCCTGTGGGAGCTCGGAGCCTGCGCGGCCGTGGGCTCAGCAGGGAGGGTGCTGGGTGAAGAGCTGTGCGCTCCAGGAAGGTGAGGCGCCCCCAGCTTTCGCTCTGGGAGGCGGGCGGGCGACAGCGGCTGTGCCTGTAGTCCTCACAGCCCATGCTCGCCGATCAGCACCATTTATTTATCTATTTATCTATTTATTCAATCCTCCCCCGAGGGTATTTTCCCATTGGTTTTTAGGGAGAGTGGAGGAAAGATGGAAAGACAGAGAGAAACATCGATGTGAGAGAGACACATCTATGGGTTGTCTCCTGCACGCACCCCGACCAGGGCCCAGGCCAGGGAGGAGCCTGCAACCGAGGTCCGTGGCCTTGACCGGAATCGAACCCGGGACCCTTCGGTCCGCAGGCTGATGCTCCAACCACGGAGCCACACCGGCCAGGGCAGCATCATTTTATTTTCAGCGATGCCATTGGGGCAGCGCCACGCTGGCTCCCTGGGAGAATTGCACAGTTAGGACGCCGTGAGGACCTGCCTTCGCTGGGACAGGGATGCCGCACGCTTTGACTGGGGGCGCCCGATGACTCAGAGTCACGGCCACACGGGCCTGTGTGCCTGTTGAGCAGCTCTGTGTGGTGTCACCTTTGTGGGGGGGGGGCCTTGAGTTTGCTGAGCCCCCTTTTCTATGTTTACCTTCTGAGCCCCTTGACACCTGTGCACAGGGCTGTCCTTACCTGCAGACGGCAGCACCTGGGTCCCCGATCTTTCTGTCCCCCCACCCCCCCACCACCGGTTAAGCATTAGGGAGACCTGGCTCGGAATATCAAACTTCCCCCTTCTCTGGGGGCAGGACACTGTTGGACAGTGACTTGGAATGTGACGCTGTAAACAATGTGAAAGTTGCCCGGCCGGTGTGGCTCAGTGGTTGAGCGTCGACCTTTGCACCAGGAGGTCACGGTTCCGTTCCTCGTCAGGTCACATGCCCGGGTTGTGGGGCTTGATCCCCACAGAGGGGCGTGCAGGAGGCAGACGATCAATGATTCTCTCTCATCATTGGTGTTTCTTTTTTTTTTTTATTGATTTTTTACAGAGAGGAAGGGAGAGAGATAAAGAGTTAGAAACATCGATGAGAGAGAAA